ACTCTAACACAAAAACAGTTAAGAGAGACAAAGAGGGGCACTATATGATTAAGGGATCAATTCAACAGGAAGATATAACAATTATCAATGTATATGCACCTAATTACAGGGCACCGGTTTATTTAAAAGATTTGTTAAGAGACTTAAAGGGAGACTTAGACCCCAGTACAATAGTACTGGCGGACTTCAATACTCCACTCTCAGAAATAGACAGATCAACAGGACAGAAGATCAACAAGGAGACAGTAGATTTAAGTGACACTATTGCCCAAATGGATCTAACAGATATCTACAGAACTTTTTATCCTACATATAAAGCATTTACATTCTTCTCAGCAGTACATGGAACCTTCTCTAGGATTGACCACATACTAGGCCATAAAGCAAGTCGCAGCAAATTCAAAAGAATTAGAATCATACCATGCAGCTTCTCAGACCATAAAGGAATGAAGTTGGAAATTAGCAACTCAGGAATCCCTAGAGCATACGCAAACACATGGAGACTGAACAACATGCTCCTGAATGAACAATGGGTCATAAAAGAAATTAAAAGAGAAATCAAAAATTTTCTGGAAGTAAATGAGCATAACAGCACAACATACCAAAACATGGGACGCAGCAAAAGCAGTGTTAAGAGGAAAGTTTATATCAATAGGTGCCTACCTCAAGAAATTGGAAAGGCACCAAATAGATGAGCTTTCAATTCACCTCAAGGATCTAGAAAACCTGCAGCAAACCAGACCCAAATCTAGTAGGAGAAGAGAAGTAGTTAAAATCAGAGAAGAAATCAACAGGATTGAATCAAAAAAAAATTACAAAAATCAGCCAAATGAGGAGCTGGTTTTTTGAAAAAAAAAAAATAAACAAAATTGACACCCCATTGGCACAACTAACTAAAAACAGAAAAGACCCAAATCAATAAAATCAGAGATGAAAAAGGAAACGTAACAACAGACACCATAGAAATAAAAAGAATCATCAGAAATTACTACAAGGACTTGTATGCCAGCAAACATGGAAACCTATCAGAAATGGATAGATTCCTGGACACATGCAACCTACCTAAGTTGAATCAGGAAGACATAGAAAATCTATGATTCAAAAGGGAAGTAATTCTGCACAGCTGAACAGAATTGGAGGTAGTTAGCAAACAAATGATATACCCACAGGAGCCAGAGATCGGAAGCTCTTTCCCAAGGACCACACAGGGAATCTGTCCTGCCCTCAGTGTGGGCTCAAATTCTCCTTCAGTCTCCCACTGGGTTGCCAAGGTTACAGAATTGTAGCGTCTCTGGAGAGTACTCATGTGAATTCTGTGAGTTCTCTCCCCCGCCGTCTTTTTTCACAGTCTCAGTTCAGTAGCACCACACATTCACTAGGTTCTAATCTCTTGTTAATTCACCACCCCCCGCCCAGAGTCAGGTTTTTCTGCTAGGCTCAAGGCTGGTGCAGACCTGAGGTCACCCTGCTTATGACGTATCTCCAAGATGGTGCCTGCTCTTTGTCTTGCTCGCCTTTGAGAGGTGAGCCAAGAGAGAGAAACTCGTGTCTGTATCGGTCACTTTTTTTCTCTCTCTCTCTCTCTCTCCTCTAGTTAGCCTGGTGAACTTTTCCCCCCCAGGGGTCATTCCCTCTAGTCTCCTCTTTCTGCTTGCCTGCTGGTGTCTCAGGCTATTGAGGTCCAGCTCACCTCGCGTTCCAGCACTGGTGTGTTGAGTCTGCTGCTGGTGTCCTGAACTTTGGGCTCCCACACTCTCCATGCAGGTCCACTTTGAATCACTAGTTCCAGAAGAGTTTCTTCTGCTGTTTCTTCCCCTACTCTTCCTTGAACCTGTAGTATCTCCACTTTTATTAAACTGTCTCTCCCCAGACTATCAGTGTGCTTCCTTCCTATTCCGCCATCTTGCCACTCTCTCAAGAGTTGCAATGTTAAGTTCTTTGTCAAGCTGAAGCTAGGATGAATGACTGTTTCCTGGTCTTCCACATGGGTGGCAGGGCCCAAGGACTTGGGCCATGTTCTGAAGCCTTCCCAGGTGCATTCACATTGTGCTTGATCAAAAGCAGAGAAGCTGGGACTTGAAGCAGCACCACAGCACTCTGATGTGGAATGCTGGTGTGGCAGGCAGTGGTGAAACTTCCTGCACCACAGCATTCATATATGCTGTGCTATATACAATTTTTTATTCCTTTTTGGAATGTGTGAACTTTTGTTAAAAATTATTCTAATATTATGCCAGTATCCTATTTCCTATCAAATTTTCATCCAGTACCTTTGATATTCATTATTTTTAATCATCATTGCTGTATGAAATGCTGGTGTTTTAATTCCCAATATTGTTTCTTCATTTATATTTTGAACTAGCATCAAAGCTAAGGGCTCACTCTTCTGTCCTCATTAGTGTGTCATTATGTTTTATATCATTATGAGTTCACAGATTCTTATCTTGTTAAAGGTATTATAGTCTGAAATTATGTGTTCTGATGCTCAAGTTATTCCAGATCCTAGTGGAATCCTCTTCAACACACCAAATTAGGGCCCCAATATCTACAGTTGGTGTAAGTGCCATCCTAGGAGAAAAGATTCACTAGTTCTTATCTCCCTTCCCTGAATTACATTTCCCTTAAAGGTGCCATTTCTTTCATCAAATCTTGTTACTATTAATGAAGATTTACCATTCAGCTATACTCCTCTATGTTTTCTCTGAAGATGTTCTTTAGTACTAAGGCCACTTTACAAACCAAAATCTCATCAAGTCACACTCCTCTTTCAACTGTGTGGATGGTTTCCCATGACCTTTGAACAGGGACCATAGGACTCACTATGGTCTTCAGAAAGACAATGCTATGTATGGGTTGTACCCTATTAGGTCTTGTCTACCAGCTGTCTGCTCGCTATTATCTTCTTACATGCTAGGACTCGGAAGGCTCTCAGTTGTATCACAGACTTTACAAATTTCCTCTCAACCCATCAAAATTACTAAAAGTTCCAAATGTGAGGCTAAACTGTTTTTTTATAAAAAAAATTATTATTTTATTTGAGAGGTAGAGTTACAGACAAAGGGAGAGACAGAGAGAAAAATCTTCTGTCCACTGGTTTACTTCCCAGTAGACACAACAGACTGAGTTGGGTTGATCTGAAGCCAGGGGCCAGAAGCCTGGAGCTTCACTCTTCTCTCCCATATGGGTGCAGGAGCCCAAGCATTTGGGCCATCTTTGACTGCTTTTCCAGGCCAAAGCAGAGAGCTGGATTGGAAGAAGAACAGCTGGAACTCAAACTGGCACCACAGGCAGAGGCTAAGCCCACTATGCCACAGTGCTGGACCCTAAGTTCTTTTAAAATAAGATTTACAGTATTTGTTTGAAAGGCAGACACAGAAAGAAGGTTGCAGTGGAGACAGAGATATTCCACCTGCTGGTTCATTCCCCAGATAGATGCAGTAACAGGGAGATGGATCATAATGGAGCAGCTGGGACTCAAACCAGTGCTCACATGAGATGCTGGCATTACAGGCAGTGGCTCCATGTGTCAGCTACTTCATTTCTTCTTTCAAAGGAGTTCTCACCCATAAGTGATTCAGAAAGATGTACCAAAGGACTTTTGAGGTGGTTATGATAAATTATCTCTTTTAAACTTTACATTCCACAGAACACACAGTATAACTAAATTATTTACCAACACAACCTCATTCCTTGATACTTGCCTAACTCAGATGAGATGTGTAATGAATGCTAATCTCTGGGTAAAAAGTGATGATCATGTCCCTAAAGAAGATTGCAGTACAGCTCAGCTGAACACGCAAAGGATAGCATGATTCTATGAGTTAGTCAATAGCAACACAAAAGTGCAATAAGTGATTATTTAAAATACATGATATTAAAACAATGCACTCAGAGAATTTCATCATGACAGTCCCCATTTTGGACTACACCTTCAGCACTCTAAGTTTCTATAGCACAGCAAAAGTGTGGGCAATGAAAGTTTCTTTCTGGGAGAGATAAGAGGAATATTTTAGCATCAGTGACTCACACATTAGCAAGACAGATTTTCTGCAAATAATTGAAATCCATAATCAGCAGCTTTGTTCAAAACTTCATTTTCTGTAACTGTGAAAGTGCAATTAAAGGACGATATTTGGGACAGAATTCTTAAAGATACGTGAAGAAGGTTACTGAGTGGTACATAACTTGGCAAACCTGCAGCAGCAGGTTTTATATAAGAAACAGATCACCCAAAAACAGCTCACTCACACCACCAGAGTGCCCAGTCTTGGCTTCCTTCTCTTCACCTTCATCTTCATTATCAGTAATTTTATTCATGTCTTAGAATTTAGTTCAAATTGAAGGTATAACCAGAGGCTATCACTACTCCTAATCTAGGTAATACTAGTGAGCACAAATACAGTGTCTTCAATGGCAAACACCCACTTTTCAGTATTATGCCAAACTTATTAAAGAACATGATACTGGCATTTTTACAATGATAGGATAATAAAAATCATTAGAGCAATTTATCAGGTTTATAATGCACATCAAGAGAAAGTGTGTCAATGTGGAGAACAGTGTGTAAATTGTTGAGTATAGTCAGGCAGAAGTGAGAAAATTAAGACAAACCATGCTGGGTAAAAATACATAGGAACAAGATTTCAGCAGGCAATGTTAAGCAGAGAAGCACCACATAGAAGTATGGAATCATTGTTTATTCAATGGATGCCCTATTCTGGGTTCGCAGCTGGAAGGTAGAAATACACTTGGAGATGCAGAGGTCCCTTATCCTCTTCATGGGTTTTACCCAATCAAGACAGTTTTCTCAGTCATTCTCACATGGAAGCAAGGGTCTTTATGCCATGATCTCAGTTGTGGGCTCTTTCAATTATGCTTTCTCCACTGCTAGACTTAAGTATCCTGTAAGTGGAACAGATTTTCTTCCCCAGAAGAGCAGCTGGGGACAACAGTGGGGAATCAGGTGTCAATGATTATAAGAATTTAATCAACCGATCTGAGGACCGGGCGGGAGGGAGCCAGGTCCCCGCGATCTTCTCCGACGGCAGCGGCGGCGGCTTAAGCCGGGTGCAGCCCCTGCGCCCCTGCCAGCCGGGATCCCGCAGGGTGGAGGCTCAGTGCCGGGCGCACGGACAGGATGGTCATCTGCGTGTTCATCGCCTCTTCCTCGGGCTTCGTGGCGATAAAGAAGAAGCAGCAAGATGTGGTGAGATTTCTGGAAGCCAACAAGATAGAGTTTGAGGAGGTGGATATCACAATGTCAGAAGAGCAGAGGCAATGGATGTACAAAAACGTACCCCCGGAAAAGAAGCCCGCGCAGGGCAACCCGCTGCCCCCGCAGATATTTAACGGCGACCGATACTGTGGAGATTATGACAGTTTTTTTGAATCAAAGGAAAGCAACACAGTGTTTTCATTCTTAGGCCTGAAACCACGGTTGGCATCAAAGGCAGAATCTTAGAGAGAAGAAATGGAAGATGACGGAGATGCATTTTGGAGCACCCCTGGTACTCAGCACACACCTGCTTACCTAATGCATCACTGTGACAAAAGCCACGTGCATCATCAGTATCTTTGCTTGCCACGGAAAAGGTGTTTTTGGAAGATGTGGGTATAATGGGGATTGCATGATTGCTTTAAACCAAATCAGAACGGTGGTGGATTTTTTCTCGTTTTTAGATTTGCCTGCAGTTGCCTCATGAAACTACTCTCACCTGTTACAGGTGTGCTCCCTTAATGATGAAAAGATAAGTGGGTGGCACCATCAGCGGGAAAATGTTGGATCTGTCCTAGGTTATAGTAGATGCCAGTATTGCATGCAGTCACTTCTCTTTAAGCTGCCTGGACTATATCCTTTAAGTTAGTCTGCCAGGCTATTCAAATCTTTGGATCAGAAATTTTGAAAAGCAGTGCTGTTGACCATGGGCACTGGAGATTTTTGCTGCACAATCCCTAAAGTTACTATTCAGTGCTTTGTAGTAACACCTTTGAAAAAGTTAGACATTCTAGACTCCTTTTGGTAATGGAAAGAAACATTCCCTTATAAAGCCTCAAGCTCCTATAGATTATCCTAAAAATTATTGTTGAAACATTTTGTGATGAGAACCAAGTTACAGGGATGAAAGCAATCAGTATTTTGGAAAAATACATATGCTTCTCTATCTCTTATAAGGGGAAAATTTTACCTAAACACATTAAGACTACCGGAAAGATATATTTTAAGAGGTGCATTAATTAGATAGTAAATTTATAGGAAAATTATCTGACTAGTATCTTAAGGCATTTTCAAGTCTAGCAATTTCTTTATATCTGAGTGCACATATATTTTTAAATGCAGCTCCCCAAACTAATAGCTGCTTATTCTATTTTGTGAAGGGATTATATTTTTTTGAGAAAGGAAGATCTTGGTTAGATATATTTTGTGAACCCTTGATGAAGCATATTAAAAGATCCCAATATTGCTGTAGAATTTGTTTTCCTATGTTACTTTTCATTGTTTCCCTACTTCGCTGACATTTCTGTCCAGTGTACAACTTGGATTCTCCAGAGTCGTGTAGATTGATGGTTTCATTGCATGTATGAGCACAAGTTGAGTTTTCAGAGTGACATATGTGACAAAGGGGCTGTCCAGGGAATAACTCTGCATCGTCCTTGGCAAACACACAACATGTCTACTTCATTTGGGCGAAGGCTACCTTTCTGCACCCATGTTTCTATAACATGGATGCTTACATTTTGAGTGTTTGAAGTTGCCAAACATAAGAACAGCCTTGAACAAGATGCTCTCAGAGTGTCGCCTAAAATACTCTTCTGTTCCCAGCATCCTGATGCTGGGCCTTTCCTTATGATTCTGAGCAGAGAATTTAATAGAAATGGAAAGAGCAGAAGAATGAAAGCCCTGTCACCTGTGCCCTCACCCTGCCCATGTCTTGCTCAAAGTAATTCTCAAGAACTGAAGCCGAACTCCACAACTGCAGCTAGAAGAAAAGCATGGCAGTTCTGCTTCACTCAAACAGATGTGTGATCCATACTTTTCTGTCCAAGGAAAGCTGTTGTCTATTCGTAGGTACTACTGGTTAGTTGACGTTAAACAAGATCCGGGTCAGATTCCATTTGATAAATGCCAGGAACTATCTGGGATTTTTTGTTTTTCCTAACTGGATATTATGTTTGAGCATGTGAGTCTTTTGTTAAGGTTTAGAATGTCTTTTTAAGATACAGCAGTTTACAATTTTTCGTGTTGTAATGACCCAGCTTGCATTTAGTCTGCTCCTGCCAGTGAGTTCTAAGAACCAACTCAGTGAGGTTGAGGCTTTGCAAATTAAATTCTGGGATTATAGGATGCATACCATGCTTGCTAGACAAAGAAAGCTCCCCAGAGTTGTTTGGCTCTTAACTTTTGAGTTAACCTTGGTATACCTGGAATGCTGATTGTATTAAACAGACTAGGTGAATGGTGGTGCTAAACTACTATCACAGTTCTACACCACGACCCCTCCCTAATTTGGGGTGTTTTGATGTTGAGCAAAAAAACCCAAGAGTCCGGCCTCAGGTGGCACTGTTCCTATAATGAGCTAGAAGCACAGCGTGGGGCCTTGCCCACAGCACACAGGCTCCTGGGGCACTGAGGTGTTACCCTTTGGGACCTCGCTGTGCTCTCAGAAGACTGTGTTCTTGCTTGGACTCATTTACCAGCTGAATTCCAAATACATAATAGCTGTTTCCTTGCTCCCTCCTTTAACTAGCAG